ATCTCAACTTTTCTGGTTTAATTATTCTTATTTCTAGTTTATTATTCTTTTTTTTGTAGTTATATATGTATAAGGTGCAATAATCATCATTTCTTTTTATTAGAGTAAGGTAACGTTGTTGCCTCACTCTTTATAAGAGTAAAGCAACAAAAAGCAGAAGATACTATAGATACGTTTGTCAGCGCAAATCATTCGTTCTATCAAAAGTTCTGAATTTGCATAATTTATTTACATATTTCAATAAGTAATTTGGCTATCAATTTATTTTGATACTATCGTTATATGACATATAACTACACATCGATTTAGACTAACAGGAAATAATCGCTATTATTTATTGCTTGAAATGAACTATTTATTAGTAAATACTAATATTGTTGTATTGTGTCGAGCCATTAGCGGTGCGTAATGTAATTTTTTGCTGATAATCCGCGATTGATTTGCACGTCACAAAGAACGATAACGCTAAAGCTAGCTATGATGAATGCGCAACGAGTTGAGAATGAGTCGATTAGCAATGATAGTGAATAGATCCAACGGCTCATTGTTGTCGAGTTTATCCCACGGGTTTTATCTCGATTATATATCTCGCAAAGCTCGTCTCTGACGAAAAGTCAATGTAGCGTCACCCAAGCGTTCGCGCGGACAGTTCTTCACATGATTTTTTTATCTAGAAAAAAAGTTTTATAATAGAAGTTGTAGAGACGGCTTGAGTACTTTATTGTTTAATAAAAAATTACATGGATCTTCCCTTATAATAACTATAAGATGTATACAGAGTGTCTGACAACGAACTATAAAGTCGACGTGTGTAGGTAGATCGAGTTATTCTGAACAGAAAAGTTATTTACTATTTTGAAAAAATCGCAATAGTTATTGAAATATGACTTAATAAATGTGAGCCAATGAGAGCGCGCGGAGCGATGATCGGACTCTATAGGCGTGCACAATTATCAGCTCTACTCCTCGCTCGCCGCTGCTCGCTGCGTACCGCCGAATAGCGCCCGATTGCAAGAAACTGAGTCGTTCCGCGCTTGTTTGTTTACTCCGCCTCTCGTTACTAAGACATTACATGAGAGAAGCCACTTTTCTTTTCATCTGATAATCGTGCACGCCTATAGAGTCCGATCATCGCTCCCCGCGCCTTCATTGGTTCACATTTATTAATTCATATCTCAATAAATATTGCGAATTTTGCAAAATGGTATATAACTTTTCTGTCCAGAATAACTCGATCTACCTACACACGTCGGCTTTATAGTTTGTTGTCAGACACCCTGTATATATATACATATATACAGGGTGTCTCAGAATTGCCGTACAATCTTTCGTAGTCAGGTAGAAGAAGTAAAACTAAGTCAAAAAGTCCTGAACTATTTTTTTCTATTATTTATAATAAAGAAGTAATTATTGAGTAAATCAGGCCAATCAGCGCAGACCTTTAGCCAGGTCTGCACGTCAGTGAGCGCTCACACACACCAGGCGCACGGCTCACTGACGTGCGCGTGGCTAAAGGTTGGCGCTGATTGGCCTGATTTACTCAGTAATTACTCCTTTATTTTATAAATAATAGAATTACCATTATAAAAAATGGTTCAGGACTTTTCGACTCAGTTTTACTCCTTCTACCTGCCTACGAGAGATTGTACGGCAAATCTGGGACACCTTGTATATATGTACAGTCGGCGTCAATGAATCGTTTCGCGGGGAGCTAAGGGTAAGAGGGATGGTATTCCCTAGCAGTAAATATTGTAATTGGTCAATTCATCGAAATCTGCTACAGTTAGTTAATGCAGCGCCCGTTGGCAGTACTTACTCCTAGGGAATACCGTCTCTCTTACCCCTAGCTCCCGGGGCTACGAAACGATTCATTGACGCCGACTGTACATATATATATATATATATACATATACATATATACAGTTAGTTTCTTAGAATAACCCCTTCTACCCCTTCTATATATATATATATGTATATATATACAAGGTGTTTGATAAGTATCGTCTCACCGCTCGTAGGTAGGTAGAAGGGGTTATTCCAAGACGAAAAGTCCTATACCACTTTGGAAAATTCGCAATAATTAACGAAATATTAATAAATAAAGATCTGCTAATCAGCGTGCATCTAAAGTAAGAACAGCGTAAGGACAGCCTAGTCTTTCGTGCGTACGTGCCGTAGCGACAGAATGGGAGGATCTAATAGAATAACATGTGTACACAGCGCGTCAGTAATTCGAAGAGTAGGCGCGAGGATCGAAGGGCAAGCGGGCTGTACGATTCGTACGGCGCTTGTTGGCGAGCAACCGCCCCGCTACATTTGTCACACAATTCTTCCCGCGATAATATAATAGTTACGAACAGAATTATAATATTAAAATAATGCAGCAATAACAAAAATAAATATACAACTTAATATAAAATAATTTTTTACTATTCTTTTATTTTTTATTCTCTGATCTTTGAATGTTGTAATACATTTGTTTCGTACAAAGAGAGAGATTGCAGATGTCAAAAAGATATACGCCTAAGGCGATCACAACAAAGAATAATTTATTATTAACCAAGAGATCTCGAAAATATACGCAAAGCCTTCAACATCATTCGTAGCTTTATTAGAATTTTCTCTCAAAGAAACTTGGCAAGCCTGAGGGGATGAACTTTTAAGATATTCCGTGAGCGAGAGATAGACACGCGCTTGCACTTTCCAGTTCAAATAATTCATTCTCGCTTCTCTCTAGAAAAATGAAGATAATTAAGAGTGTCGTGCTTGTCGATCTTCGATTCGGCAGTGGTAACTAAACACTCGATCTTCATAAACAATTGCCGCGATCAATCGCACAAATGTTTGTAGATTAAATACATTTATTTGTATACACACAGTCACTGTGTCATAATGTTTGTACTTTACAGTAACGAAGATTTGCGCTACGGTAATCACGTATATGTGATCGTCGTAAGCGTTATTTGCTTGCATATGTATTATTTTCTGCTCATCAACTGATATCTACAATACATTTCCGGTAATTATTGAGTACAGGAGATTAACGTCTAATGAGCTTGACCTTGACATATGTTATAAAAGGCACTTTCTTGAGTAGTGTCCAAGAGGTTTTAGGTGGCGCTCAATGTTCATTAAAAAGTTATTCATAAAAAATATAATCACAAAAATGACCGTTAAAAACTATTAAGAGTTGTAATTTTGTTCATATTGTAAGCGTGTAAACGAGAGGGGCTTGCTCCCTGCAGGAAGAGTGGCTTTGTCTCTCCTTTTGCACCCCCTCTTGAAAAATTCACGTACACACTTTTGACACGACATTTAATCGGAAGTCGTTCCTTCTTTTTTCTTATTTTTTCATTGCATAAATTTCAATTAAGTGTCGCTTCATGTTGAAAGTGTGTACGTGGTTCTTTTGGAGGGATGGGTGCAGGGAGAGAAGCGAAGCCACCCCTATCTACACACTTACAATACGAACAAAAAGAACATAAAAAAGTAGTCTTGTTAAAAAACTTTAAATTGCTATATCTCCTAAACCAAAGTCGTATCGAAAGTTACTCGCCTTCGACAATGATCTTGTACCTATGTGGAACTTTGCTCTGAATGATAAATAAGCTACTTCACGTTCCGAAACATCAACTGAATAGTAGTCAACAATATCGCTTGTAAATATGTATAATTGTATCAGCAACTCGAGTAGTCTTTCTAGAAATGATAACTGAGAGCAAACGTGTATTCTGTTTCATTATTCTACATGTTATTACTGAAAATAAAGGTCGTATTTTCCAACCTTTTTTGTTAATAACTTTTTAATAAACAATAAGCGCTGCCTAAAACATCTTGAACACTACTCAGGAGAATGCCTTTTACAACATATGTCAAGATTATCAGACCTTAATCCTCTATACTCAATAATTAGCTTATTTTATATTGTAATATCTAATATACAAGTTTATATATATAATCCTTGCTTTAGAATCTTCTCCGCGGCTGTCAACAAGTCTCTGGCAACTATTCAACAATGCAAACTTCATGATTTACATCCGTCAAAATTCATTACAAGAACTTGAAGCAAACATCATAAGTATGAGTAAATCCGAGTAATAAATTCTCTATTATCAACAATTTTGTAGTTTACATAATCTGGCATCTCATTATTTCTCGCAGTAAATGTTAAACTCTATGCAAAAAAATCATGTAGAAATTAATATATTTTGAATCCTATCATATTGAATGTAATAATAAACCATAAAATATTCTAAAACAACAATGTGTTTGATGCAGTCAAACAGATTACAAAATTATTACAAATAACAAAATTGATTTTTTTAAATAACACTTGACAAAATTAGTAACATCTCTTCCAAAATAATCTCATTCGTTGTTCTAAGTCTGTCGTCAGAAAGGTTGATTGTAAAAAAATATTAGAAAACAATTATTAGAGAATGCAGCCCAGCACAATAATTCAATTAACAACTCGCTGAGAATTAATTTCATGCCGCGTAACATGCATTCGTTAACTTGGAATTTTGTTGCCTCATTCTGCAAAATTTTATTACTACCGAACTAAGCGACGGACAACACGACGCTATTTCATACAATATTCCCAACAGGCTAAAAACTAAATAGCAGCTTCTTTTTCTTCATGAAATGTCAAAATTTTCACAGAACAATCATGTGTCTGTCATGTCTCGATTCATGTATTTTCAGAAAAATCTTTTTATACATTATCTTTTGACACATTATATCTAACATAAAAATATATAATTTATATGTACAAATACATAATCTATATATAAAAAAAATCATTTTTGCTGCGCTCACTAAGAGAGTACATTAAAACTTAAAAGTATGTTATTGTTATTTTTTAAATAAGATATACATACAATTATATTTATAATCAAGTTTTTTTAAGTTTGAAGTGTGTAATAAACAATAAAAAATTTTAAAACACCATTTTTAATACTAATTTCTTAATTAAAAACTGCATTTTCGTCTATCTTTAGACGATTCGCTACTTGGCAAAAGCAACGTACATGTCAGAAAAAGTCTCCGTCGATGTTTAACGAGACACGTGTACTTATCGATGATCGGGAAAATGCAATATCCGACACAGAGACAAGTCCTTAAGAATGAGTAAAAAGAATAACACATCGCGGAACGATGGACCAAGAAGGAACGTTTTACATGTCATCGAGCGTCGCTTCGAGTTGCCATCGGCAGGCCAATTAGACGCGTAAGTGCTTAGCAGAGAGTAAAAGCGGAAGCTAGAAGAAAGTCGCGAAAGTTTCTACAAAGTCGGGAAATTCGCCCGGCAAGAAGAAAAGCGGAAAAGCGGAAAAGCCAAGAGAAATAACTGCCGGTAAGTTGAAGTGGAATGTGAACGAATTAAGCACTCACCGCAATGCACAATGCACGCCGACAGCTATCGGAGGTGACAAAGCCAGCCAGCACATACCTTCATGTATTAATAACGGCTCTCTCTCTCTCTCTCTCTCTCTCTCTCTCTCTTTCTCTCTAATTCACTTGAAAATTAAACTTCTCTTTCGTCTCTTTCGCGTGCCGTCAAAGAGTGACGCTTTGTGGCCGCACGATCAATATCTCTAATTCAGCACGTGCTTTGCTATACCATAACACTCACGTCGCGCGGTTAAACGCTACTCTGCTTGACTTCTTTTACAGCCACAAATGAGTTAGTCTACGTATCCGTGCACACATTTTTTAATTGCTTCGCGACGCCGCGTGTTGCACCGACAACGGATCTAATCCGATTCATTTGTCTTCATAAAAACTTACATTAATTTTTTAATTTTGATTTTATATATTTAACTATATTCATACTATAAAAATTGATTTAATTTACTAAAACCTTAATAACCCAAAAGTTTTTCCAAAAAGTACAATTTTCTCTATATGATATATCTTTAATTTAAGTTTCTTTCGGAGAAACTACATCTTAAATACGAAATCTAACTGGTAATAAGAGCCGATATGCTGGATGTTTTGCAGAATAAACATATCTGAATGTGAATTTATATTTTTAAAAGTGTAAATTCAGTCGAAGATGCAGCCGTCCTCTTTTAGAAAACGTGGCATAAAACTGGGGAGAAAGAGAACTTGCCACTTTCAAATAGATCTCTCTCGGTTTTGATTTTCGCCTGAAATAACTTGATTGTGTTTTTTCGGCAAACCTGTGCATTCCCCGCTGTAACCAGTTGCAATATTATTATAAACAGTGCATATATTCCACATACAGATATGAGAATTAAGCTATCCTGCGACTCATCAAATCAAAAAGACGTTTTGTTTCTTGTATATATTTGTAAAGTGCAATGATTACAGTTGCACTTTACAAACAGTTATCTCTCTCTTTCAGCTGTAGTTTCACATTGCAAATAACATGTAATATATAAAATTTTTTAATTTAAACTTAGGTTTCCTCGTGGGAATAAACCACTTTCAACTAAAAGTTAAACGAGATATTTATAACTATTTATCTCTTCATCATTCTAAAATTATTTATTCCAGACATCTTTTCTGTATGAAAAAATTTAAATCAAATAGCGCAAAGTAAAAAAAAGATAAAATTTAATTTTACCTCTAATAAAAATTAAGTTAAATAGAGAACATAATAGATAAATAGTATAATAAAAAAATTGTTTTTACACATTTTTTAAATAAGTTGATAAGAGACAAATCTTAAATTATATAATTTTTTATTAAAATATAAAATATTTTAAACAAAGCAAATTTAATCGCTTGATAACTCTTGACGTAATAACGGTAAAAAAAAGAAGTGAATGGAAAAACTTGTACTCGAATGTCACTTTCATCGTGAGTTATCATATCAGAATTATTGTAGTTGTAGAGCAATCGCGATCCACTTTCCACGCTATGATATTTACTGTAAGCGTGCAGTATAATGCAAAATTACATAACATTTAACAGGATAGTTTACACATAGTATGAAATACCATATATGTGATACGCATAAACAAAATGATCAATCATAAAATAAACAGTTTTCACAGTACCGCTATTAACAGTAAGATAAATAACAAAATATAAGATTTGATAATCAATGTTAAAAATCAAAGGCCATACAGAGCCAGTGCAGGATGTTGTGCAATAATTAAATAAAGTAAAAAATTTCTTTCTTTAGCTTCAAAACGTTTCGACTTTTTATTGAAGTCCTTATCAATTTATTTTCAAAAACATTAATAATAGATTGAGAGTTTTGTTTACCAGTAAACTTAATAAACATATATCTCACTCTTTACTCGAAGAATATGACACAATTGAAAAATTCTTTTTTGTATCCCCTTACATCAACGATCGCGTTATTAAGTTTGATCACATCAAGGTCAATAATAAAAAGATACATCCTACATATCGCTCTTTAAATCAACTAACTAAATATATCAAAACACATAAGGACCCTGTTCCATTCAACCAACAAAAAAATGTAGTTTATTGTATTAATTGTCAACAGTGCAATTCTTCATATGTTGGCCAAACTAAAAGGCAATTAGCAACTAGAATCAAAGAACATACTAATTATGTCAAGAATAAACATTTAGATACATCAGTTTTAGCTAAACATAGCATTGAGACAGGGCACTGTTTTGAATGGAATTCGGTTAAAATTTTAGATACAGAACTGAATTACCACAAAAGACAAACATCCGAAATGTTATACATTAAAAAACAAAANCAAGGTTTGAATTTAATGACTGATACAGAAGCGTTACATGATTCGTACATCCCTATACTAGGTAAATTACATCTTTAACACATAGATGGAGCGACGTTTCCTTTGTCTAATCATTCTGTCGGGTGATGGCACAGTGTCGCTTGAATGTTTGAATTTATTACACGATACTCTGACATCCTTTGTATAAATGTATTTGACAGTTTCAATTTTATTTTATTTTATTTTATTNACATATGAAAGATTTATAATATTATATCAGGTATGAATTTGTTATAGAATTGACTTTGTAACGTTTGTCACATTGTAATATGTTATCTTTAATTGTTACTCTTTGTTGTAACCAGATTCAATTGATAAGGACTTCAATAAAAAGTCGAAACGTTTTGAAGCTAAAGAAAGAAATTTTTTACTTTATTTAATTATTGCACAACATCCTGCACTGGCTCTGTATGGCCTTTGATTTTTAACATTGATTATTAAATTTTATTGAGAGCCTGAGGTGATTCCTCCATACTTCTGTGTAAATATAAGATTTGATTCTCATTACATTAACTCTACATTAATCCTAATCCCGCAAACTCTAGTCATTAGTGTTCGAGCAATCCTTGAAAATGACATTTTAGTAACTATTTAGTATAAAATAATTTCTAAAAAATAAAAAATATATCAGAACTAATATAATTTCGTTTTTTTATTAGTTTCTAATATAATTTCCTTAATAAAAATATTGAATAAAGTCCTATAAATTTTTACAGAGGTTTTGCAACATTTTAACTAATAAAAAAATCGCGTCAGACATAAATGTTCAGGGTTTACAAAATACATATCTAAAAAAAAAAACGTTTACAGAATTAGAGTTAGAAGTTTAAAATAAAATATTACATATAAATATTACATATAAAATATTACATATAAATATTACATATAAAATATTATATATAAATATTAAATATAAAGAATAGTTTAACGCATTTCGGTATATTCTTATTATATTTTTTTTCTCAAAGATGGCAAAAAGGATTCTACAACAAATTGGAAATATATCGGAGCGTGTGAAAATCCAATAGAAAATGAAAATCCCGTACGCTCGCGCTACTTTATCACGGCAAAGCATCTGCAAAAATTGTATTTCTATGCCGGTAAGAAACCGAGAATATTGAACGCGACGTATACACCAGTCTCGGTTGCGATATTTTGCTTCTCTTCGAGAATATAATTTGGTTTCGATATACGCCATGTGTTACAAAATAGAAAGAGAAAGAATGGCAGACTACTTCGCAAATGGATCTATTTTTATCTCGAACGCACTGTATGATGGTATCTTTGTAACTGAAAATTCGCCACATATCTTGAAGATGATCGGCGAGAGAGCACAGAAGTTTGTACTGAGCAAAATCATCGATTATTGTCAGAGGATTTTACTTCTTTGTGCAAACGAGAAAGGCTATATATATATATATATATATATTGCTCTGAAATAAAAAATATCTCTGATTTTTTCTAAAACAATTTTTATGTATCTTTATCAAATTTCATCTAATATATATTTCGCTATATTTTCTCTCTCTTTCTTTTGCAAACTTCTAATTATTAACATCCCTTTACAATACTATCTTCTCACAATATCATCTCCAAACGTAATGCGCGAGTAAAAAAAGATTTTTCACTCGAGATCGGCATAATTGTAGCTGAAAAGTAGAGAAAGTTATACCGTGCGTAACTACACGTGACGTTCATTTAAAATCATCTAAAGGATCGCAAAAGAAATAAAATCTAGCGTTTTAAATTTGTAGCAAAATTTATGAATTAACCGCGGTAACATAACCCAGAGAACCGTAAAACTGCGCACACGCCTTCAATCCGTGTCGTCGCCTTCCGCCGTCTCGTTCTATTTTCACAGCTTTGATCTCTCGAAATTGCTTTACGGAAGCATAACTCAATTCCAAGTTTAGAATATGATGGAAGAGCCGCATAAGAAGAAGACCCGTATGCGCAATTATTTAATATTATTTAATTTTTTGTTCGTTCCTTTTTAATCTAACTTCGAAATAAAATTGGTATAAGTTTTTAAGCAAGATTCGATATCATTATTATTTAACTGCGAGGCAAATCGACGGGAAAAAAGCGGGAATAACTAGTTGCTAAAAATCAATTTAATCTCAATCGTGCATTCTTGTGAAATTATATGTATCGTAAAAGTTTTATTGACATTTTCAATATTTTCGCATATTTGCAAAGTAGGTTACACGAGATGATATCGTGTCGAAGTTCTCGATCAACGAACGAAACAACTTCATTTTTTGTGCAATGTATTCAAACTGCTTCACATGTGTTCTATTTTAAAACAGACATATAACGAGAATTTACTGTCGTTGGGTGCCAAGTGTCATTTGTTTCAAAATAATTATTGCTATCGATGATTCTTTTCTTTTTTTCAATTGCTATCGTACATATTATACTATCTGTACGAACTAGCATTAGAGATTTAAAAAAATTCTAAAGCATTAATGACACGAGAAAATAGCTTGTTTACTTGGTAGATTCGGTAAATCGTGAGATCTACGGCTTGACAGAATTCCGTCTGAAAAATAGTCATTTGGGTAATCCAATTTCGTGGATCTTAGATAAGAGTCCTAAAGAGCCCATGA